TGTGTGTGTGTAGCTGAAGGAGGGCAGAAGACGCCGGCCGCTGAAGACTCGGAGGGCAGTCGGGAGAAGAAGCCTCGAGGCGTGAGACAGGGATACGTTCACAAACCCTTCCTGTACTCGCGCTACTACAGCGACTCCGATGACGAGGTGACGGTGGAGCAGCGCAGACGCTCGGTGGTAAGAACAACTCTAGAAGCCCATGCTTCTGAGCTCATTCACGAAACACCAGCAGAATTAATTGTGTGTAAAGCCGTTCGGTCCCACTTCATATTTGGTGGCCTTACTTGCATAAAAAAATATGTATTAATATTGTATTGCAAAACACTTTTGCTGCTATGTAGGTGGGATATGGGTAAGGTTAGAAACAGGTTTAGGGGTATGGGTAGGTTTATGGTTGGTTTAAGGTGTAAGGGATGGATCAACAGTGTAATTATAAAAATAAGTTACATTCAGGTATTTTTAAAAATATAAGTATAATGTAAAAACACGCATGTACACTAAGTGCATTGTACCAAATTATTGTTATTGTATTTATATATTGTTGTTATAATTATTGTTATTCATTTTTTATTAATTGTATGACATAGTTAGAAAAACAATTAATCAATAAATATATTTAGGCAAACTGATAGCATTGTATTTTAATATAACGCTATTTATTATAATAATATATAACATTAAAATGAATGATCATTTAGTTATATTTGAAATTATTTCAATACAAACATTTGAATTGCTCATAAAGCAGTGTATATAATAATAACGTTACAATACCTTTTAATTATTAAATTGTTTCTATTCCAATGTGTTTTTTTTTTATGTATATATAAGCATTTAAACAATGGCTGTCATAAAACCGGTATTGACGATTCTTAGGATTTAAGAATCAATATTTGTTCATCCAACTGAAAAATTGATTTAAAACCGAAAATCCACACACTCAACCCAGCCCACAAAATTGTTCTAATTATTGTTGTGATGCACAATTTTCATCTGGTTTTTGTTGTCGTCGAAGTTCAAACCATTCCGATCTGATATAATTTTCTTAATTTTCACTTTCACTCCGCAGGCCAGAGACAAAGAGGAGCGTCTGTTGAAGCGGCAGCAGAACCGTGAGCGAATGGAGGAGAAACGCAGACTGAGAGCAGCTCAGAACGAGGAACAGGGTACCTGCACTCGTGTGTGTGTGTGAGAGAATGTGTGTGTGTGTGTGTGTGTGCGCGCGTTTGTGTGTGCGTGCGTGCGTGATAGAATGTGTGTGTGCGTGCGTGTGTGAGAGAGAGTGTGCGTGTGTGTGTGTGTGTGTGTGTGCGAGAGAGTGTGTGTGAGAGAATGTGTGTGTGTGTGTGTGTGTGCGCGCGTTTGTGTGTGCGTGCGTGCGTGATAGAATGTGTGTGTGCGTGCGTGTGTGAGAGAGTGTGTGTGAGAGTGTGTGTGTGTGTGTGTGTGTGTGAGAGAGTGTGTGTGTGTGCGTGCGTGCGTGAGAGAATGTGTGTGTGCGTGCGTGTGTGAGAGAGTGTGTGTGTGTGTGTGTGTGTGCGTGCGTGTGTGAGTGAGTGCGTGTATGTGCATGAGGGTGTGTGTGTGCGTGCGTGTGTGAGTGAGTGTGAGTGAGTGTGTGTGAGTGCGTGAGTGAGTGAGCGTGAGTGAGCGTGAGTGAGCGTGTGTGTGCGTGTGTGAGTGAGTGTGAGTGCGAGTGAGTGAGTGAGTGAGTGAGTGAGTGAGTGAGTGAGTGAGTGAGTGAGTGAGTGCGTGCGTGGCGTGCGTGCGTGCGTGCGTGCGTGCGTGTGTGCGTGCGTGCGTGCGTGCGTGCGTGCGTGCGTGCGTGCGTGCGAGCGTGAGTGAGTGAGTGTGTGTGTGTGTGCATGAGTGCGTGTGTGTGAGTGCGAGTGAGTTAGTGAGTGAGCGTGTGTGTGTGTGTGTGAGGGTGTGAGTATGAGAGATAGAGCGTGAGTATGTGCGTGTGTGAGAGTGTGAGTATGTGCGTGTGTGAGAGTGTGAGTATGTGCGTGTGAGTGTGTGTATGTGCATGAGTGCGTGTGAGTGAGCGTGTGAGTGTGAGTGCGTGTGAGAGTGAGCGTGCGTGTGAGTGACAGTGTGTGTGTGTGTGCGTGTGTGAGTGTCTGTGTGTGTGAGTGTCTGTGTGCGCCAATGATCTAATCTCTGATGTGATATTTTCCTCACAGATCGGAAGAAACTGGCGAGTCTCTCTGCGGATCAGAGACCTCGAGCCAAGGAGGCTCGAAAAGAGAAGAAGGTCCTTGAGAAGAAAGTGGCTCTGAGCAGACAGAGAAAGAGAGACTCCAGGTTTGTGGGTCAAACTTTGGTTCCCTTAAGTCAGCCAAGCAGGTTTTTCAGAAAGCTCCATGTAATGCAGAAACAGACTAGGGCTGCAACAAACTTTATTTTGATAATCGATTAATCTAATGATTATTACAACGATTAATCTGTATGCTTTGTTCTATTAGTCAGCTTTTACAATTAGTAAAAATAATGAGTTGCACATTCTAACTAATATATAAAATAAGCCAGTCACTTCAGTTTTTGAACATTCCAAACAATTATATTACTAGTGTACAATTACAGTTTTTATACAATTATTGTTTTTACAATACAAACAAATATATTTGGCACACAAAATGAGATGACAGACAGAGAGACGTTCTCATTCATCATTAACTGTATGAAATAGCAACTCATCACGCTGCCTAACATCTCCTTTTGTAAGTCATGTGGATATGGAACAAAATAATAGTGATAAGACATTTTATTTTTGGATAAATTTAATTTAAAACATGGTCTCTCTTAAAACACCTGATAGTGTTATGCTAATCAAAACGGTCCTGAGCTAGATTAAGCTTTAATCTATGCAAACCAAATTGTCACTTTAATGTAATTATTATTATTTTTTGCGTTCACTAATAAAAAGATTTTGGGTTGCACCACACTGGAGAGCTGCTTTATAACGGAAAATCAAGTTGTAATTCTGACTGAAAGCATCATTGACACTGTTTTTTATGATTAATACTGTAAAGCTGCTTGCTTTAAATCAATCTCTTGTATAAAGCGCTGTATAAATAAATGACGTGACTGGACTTTACTGGAGTACCGATTGCAGAGCTCATGCAAACTTATCCACATCGCTGTAATCAGATGCTTTCTTAACTGCTGTTTTCTCACCGCTGTCGTTTTTGTTGTGTGTTTGTTGCGTTATTGAGAGGAAAGCGTGCAGCACATACACTCTCCGACTCTCATAAGCATTGTGTGTGTCGTCTTTTCTTGAATTGCATTCAGTGTTGCCAATTTAGCTACTTTGTAGCTAGATTTAGCTCCCTTTTGAGACTTTTTTTCAAAAGTTTAGGGACAAATATAGCAA